TAGCATAATGTTACTCCTCTCAGCCTTCTCATCTATAAATTTAAGAATAATGAAAAAGATTCTGTTTGGATTTTCTTTCTCATTTCTCTTTTCTCATAGGTATGATCTCCCTCCCCTTTCATAGTCTACTGTCTTCAATGAAATGCATGCATATCATATTTCATCTACCACAGCAAAGTCTGGACACATTGGCTGTTTGGACATTGGCAGTTTTTATTCTTTTAGAGAAAAATTATGATGCTGCTAGCTGGTGGTTATTCTATCTGGAGGTCTTAATCGAAATTCTAGGAGGTCAAGGGATATCTGGGCAGCTTGTATAACTCTTTATAAAAACTAATTGCCTGTTCTGTGGTGAAAATTCAGTAAGTTCTAACTCCTAGACAGATAAAGTTAGGTGTGGTCTCCCTCTCTCTTCCAATTCTAGAACTTTCTTTCATGTGCTTTTCTGGGACTGGAATTGCATTCCACTGAGGCAGGGCCAGAGATGGGAACCAGGATTACAAATGAGCTGTTCACTGACCCCAGTTCTACCACGAAATGAATTCCCACATTTTGACCTCATGGCACTCTGCTGTGTTGCTACTACTGTTCTTGCTTTATTCTTACAATTGTTACTGCTGCTATTTTTATATATTAAGCATTTTGTGGGTTTACAACCATGGTTCAAGTATAGAGAGTTGCCTAGTAAGTATGGGGTCCGGTGTTCAAATCCTAATATCACCCCCAAAATAAGGTGGCTTTTAAAATTAGCTTTGATGTGAGAGACCCAATAAATTCCATCATTTAAAATGCTCAGTGTAGACATATTGATTGTCTTCAGTATTCAGATACATTGGGCCTTTGTTTTCATCCAGAAAATAAAATTTCTGACCTGCCCTCACTTTAAAAGTAATGATTTCCACTTGTTTATAGATCTGGCATGATGCCTGATGCTGCAGTGAATGAGCATTTCACATGGAAAGGAACTGTATGTTGCTACAGGTTAGATGGAATCTGTGTTTTCCTTGCTGGGCCATGCATTCTTATAATCAGGCATCATCCTAATAAGAAACAAGGCAAGCTTTCTGCCCTGGTTCTCCCATATCCACTCCTTGGTGATTGTTAGCATCAACTGAAGTCATCTAAAAAGAGAAAATCTGGAGACCAATTCTTGTAGGCCAGGTACTGTGCTTGATACATACTTGCCTAACACTCCTAGGAGTGTTTCTTTTCCATACAAATGCAGCTTTGGGGGGTAGGAGCAGTTATGTAACATATCTATTCCCACAAAGCCAGTAGTGGCAGAGCTGGCAATGGGATAGGATAGTTCACTCAGACGCCATCCCACCACCTTTTTATACCCCGCCTTGGAGTCCTGTTCCTTCATGAACTCAGGTGGTCTGAGAACCTAAATGGCACATTCGTCTCAGGGACTAGTCATGGAATAAAATCCCATCCATTTCTTCTTCTTAGATTTAAAGACATTTGGAGAGAGAGGAAAGAGACTTTGAACAGGAGTATATTTGCCAAACCACTGGGCTCCTCTGATCTTTTCAGTGGGACCCTTGCTTTTGTGAAGTAAGCACAAGGCTCCATGATGAGCTTAGAACATAGTAATGATGGATACTGAGCATCTAAGGAGCTCTGTGCATCTTTATAACCTTCTATGCTCTGTCTTTTGGGGTCCCAAGCACTCCTCACTTCAGACTACTTCTTTATTATCTTAATATGGCATCCGTGGCTGATTAGAGATATGATCCTGTGTGATCTTGACTCAACTGGCACAACAAACCTGTGGAGAGACATTCAAGGCCTTTGCTTTTTTAAAAACAAATATTTTTATTATTATCTTTAAGTACTTGTACAAAGGAGTTTCCATTTAACAAAGAAGCTCAATACGTCTTAATCAAGGTCACCCCTTGCAACATTTGCTTGAAGCCTGTACTGTCTGCTTGTCCTTATCCTATCATTGTAATATTTCAGAATTGTTTTGCTGGTGGGTGCAGAGAGACGTAAAAGGAAATATGTAGGGCTTTCTTTTTCCACTGGACCAAAAAAGCTGTTTAGAATTTTCATTTGCCATAAATAAACAATAGATCCAAATCTACTTTCCTTACTTTTTCCTATGTTGCAGGTAAAATGTCATTTGATTTAAATCAACCTTAGACATACTTCTATTAATGAAACCAAAGATGGAGATCTTTAGTAGTCCTGATTAGGTCAAGACAACAGTTTTACGCTTTCGCCATTAATGCCAGGAGATAGTTTGACTGTGTGGAGCCAGCAGCAAGTGCTCTGAGATTCTTTCCCCCCATGTGCTCAAAGGCATTTCTCTCTGGCATGCGGATGACCCTTCTCTTTCAGGGTAAAGAAAGTGTTCTGTGCCTTATAGCTTATCACTAAATGTTGGTTACATGCCAGCCTCACAGCTGTTTTACATGTGCCCTCCCATCTACCCCAACAAACAGTTTGGCAGATAGATAGATAGATAGATAGATAGGTAGGTAGGTAGGTAGGTAGGTAGATAGATAGATAGATAGATAGATAGATAGATAGATAGATAGATAGATAGATAGATAGATAGATAGATAGATAGATAGATAGATAGATAGATAACCATCTGCACTTGTCATAAGGAGGCTGAGACTCGGGCAGATCCATTTCCCAGGCTACACAGGGTCAGGAGAAATCTGTCTGCCATTTACCAATATAACTCCCTGCCTGGAAGTGAGCTAGCAGAAAATTTTTAAGAAGAGATGAGGCTTGGGGAAATGGCTTTGACTGATTCTGATCAATACCTCAAGCTTTGCATTTATTCATTCCTTTGCTGCTATTAATGGATGTATGCCAAGAACGCCAGGGGTATCACAATGAGATAAGAAGCACAAGTCCCTGCCCTCTAAGCTTGCTTTGGAATTATGGGCTGTGAGTAGAGAAATGGCATGATCTGCCTTCAGTTTTGCAAAGTCCTTCTAGCCGCAGCATGGAGCATCATCTGTGAAGGGGCAAGGACTATGTGAGAAGACCTGTTAGGAGGTGACTACGTTAATCTAGGCAATGTGGGTGGGAAGCTTGACCAGAGTGTAGCAAATGTGAGAAGTTAGGGTCTGGATGGACTTGAGCAGCAATGCCAGTGGGAGTCACTTAGGAATTGAATGTGGCAATTTATTGTCCAGGCTTCCTCTGGAATTTAGGTTGACTACGACATCGGTTCAGTGGAAATTGAAACTCCTTTCTTTCAGCTTCTTAACACTTGGCTTATGAACAGAGAAAATCTGTCAATGCCGGAGAGGGTCACATGGCATTAGTTGTCCCAGGGGCATTTGTCATCCACGCTGCTGCTGACCAGCTGGTGCCCTCCTTCAAAAGCGGTCCCCCTGGAGAATGGTACCTACGTGGTCATACCTGAGATTTCTAGTGTGTCTACTTCAGAGCCACTGAAAGTTCACTTTAATCTTTTCCAATGGCTCTCCTGTGAGGAGATAGAAGAGAGATCCTGTTAACAAGATGTAAGCCCAGTTTCTTATTTTTCTGCCTAGATTATTTCTCAGAAATGATATTATCAGGTCTGAAATAGGACAGATTTTAATTCTTGGTGACAACACAGTACGGTAAACATACTGTTTTGCCATGTTCTCAAGTCCAGAACTTACCTTCCTTGTCATTAACTTAACTTAATTTGTCATTAACCTCCTTGTAGCTAACCATAGCCACTCAGAATGTTTCCAGATGTGCCTAGTGACCTCTGGATAGAGATGCTCCTCAACCTACAGTGGGATTGCATCCTGATAAACCCATTGTAAACATTCTAAGTCTCAAATACATTTGCTCACCTACCAAACATCAGTTGTTTCTCATGATCATGTGACTGGTGGGCAGCTGCAGCCAACTGCTGCTGCTCAGAATTGTGGGAAACCATTGCACCAGCCCAGGAAAAGATCAAATTCAAAGTTTGTTTTCTGCACATTATGTATCTCTTTCACACCATTGTGATATAAAAAAGTAGTTAAAATGAGGTAGGCACTGGTGGTGCAGGCTTGTAATCCTGATGCTCAGGAGACTGAGATTGGAGGATTACAGTTCAAGGGAAGTTTGAACAAAAAGTTCACAAAAGCCCTTCTCAACCAATGTTCTGGGCATGATGATGAGGGCCTGTTATCCCAGCCATAGAAGGAAGTATAAAATAGGACCCTATGTCCATAAAATAACCAAAGTAAAGGGGCTAGAGGTTTGGCTCATGCAGTAGTGTACCTTCTTAGCAAGCATGATTTCCCACAGTTCAAATGCCAGCTGTGCGGGAGGAGTTGGGACGTTGCGGGAAAGGGGAAAGATCCGGTAAGTTGAAACATCATAAGTCAGGGACTATCTACAGAAATGTTATTATAAGTCAATGAAATTTCCACCAGACCATTAGTAAAGTAATAAGGTGAATAAATGTCAATCAGTTGGTTTCATTCACCTTAAGTAAATGACTTTATATTTCCAGTTAGAAGAAGGTATTGGTAATGGATAAACATAAAGGTTGCATCTGCTTCTCAGAGATTACAAAGAATAGCATGAGAAGCTCCCTATACTTGTTGATGTAAACAAAGTAATTTCCTACATGTTGTACCTTGAGGCAAACCAAAAATGATTTCTTCCAAGATATCTGGAAGGCCCCAAGGTCTCCTTAAACTTCTCCTAAATTGTACCTTCTGGATATAATGTGATATCTCACTGAACTTGGCCATCCATTGGGCCCTGCTAGGCAGGCTATCCAGCTAAGGATGTGCTAAGAGGCTCCTAACTCCTGGCCTTTGAATAACATTTGACACTACTGCTTGTGTGATTACCCGGCCACAGCAATTAGCCCCCATGTTACCCCTCTACAGTGTCACTCACACCCTGAGGGACGCAGCCATACCAGCAGAAGAGGCGTTCCCCTGACTCCCTTCTGCCTCCATACTGTAGACCACAGGCCCCAGCCATGGAAAAACAGTCAAAATCAACTGAAGGATCTTTTTCTTCTATCTTTCTCCCAGGGCTGCGTCCAAAAAGGACTCTGCGTCTGGTACTCTGGACAGCAGAAGAACAAGGTGGAATCGGAGCCTTACAGTACTATCGGCTACACAAGGTAAAAATGAGCTGTGGACTGCTGACCATTTACACGTTGAATGTCAACATGAACCACAAGCATTGTTTGCCCTCTTTGATTTAAACATTCTCAGTAATCATCCATGTAATACTCGTGAGACTTTGGGGTCCAGTCAGCCCTGTGAATGAGAATCATACTGTGAACGCCTTGCTGAAGATGCTATAATGTGGCGATCAGGCTTTTCCATTTGTTTCTCTTTTTTTTTTTTTTTTTTGGTGGGGGGTATCAGTGTCATTTGGTCTTTACTCAGCTGTCTGTGTTGGGTCTTTAAAAAAAAACATTTTTAACACTGTCTTTTAAGGCTTTTGCATTTCTATACTACACTGTGTGGCCTTAGGAACTCCCAACATGCCACCATTTTCTTAGTTTCTCTAGGTCAGTTGTGCACATGCATGTCAGAGACATAGTAAAAGGTAGTAATAATGAGGAAATATCCCCTGACCTCACTGAACTCAGCCCCATACCTCAGCACCCAAATCCCTCCTTGAAGCCTTGGTAGTAAGGACCAAGTCCTAGGCTGAGTCAGCCAACAACATCGCCATAGTCATATAGGCAATGTGGCAGCCATGAGACTCAGTTTGTTTGACCTTGACTGCAATTTGGCAGATGTGGAGCTCAAAACAAGTAGGTCATTGTGGACCATCATTAGGAATACAAAACTACATTGAATATGGGACACCAGGAGATTCGTATTGAGGACAAACTTGGAGAGCAAAGCATACAGTCTCAGCAGCGCTCGGGTCCAGTCAGGCATTCATTCACAAAGGCGCTCCCAAAGCACTAGTGTGGGAGCCAGGGAGGAGGCCCAGCTGTGGCTGCTGGGTGTCTGCTCCCCACCTCTCCAGATTGAAAGAAGCATGCTCCAGCTCTCCAAATCAAGTAGGAGTTGACTGTTACATGTTTACATTTGCATCTATTTTTATTATTTTATACCCAGCCACTTCTATTGCTGTGTTTCAGTTAGTTGGAGTATGGGTTCTGGGTCATGTGTTTGATCACTAAGAATAATTTACTTATTATCTAAGGACTTGTGGTATTACCATGGTCTTACACTCATTCTTATGGCCTCTAGTGATCCCGGGGCTAAGAAAAATCAAACAAATGGCCTATGGCTGGTAGGTCAATTGACATTGTTCCTAACTTGCAGTAGACAGTATTGTTACAGGTTCCCCAACATTTAATGAATATTTCTTGAGCAACTACTATGCTTCATACACTCTGTGAAGGACTGAGTTCCATGCCATTAAAGCAATTCACCCCAAGCCTTACATAGATGACAGAGTAAAGGACACCAACTACTTAATTGCAAGTATGATGCAAGGGGTTAAGTCTTCTGATCGAAAACAAGATGTTAACAACAGACCTGGGAAGGTCAGCTACACCTAGCTTTGAAGGGCAGTCTGAATAAGCTGTGTAGGAGAATATAACATCGAAAGCCAGAGCTGAATACTGAGTAGTAAGCAATAGAAAAGGAGTGTGAAGGAGGAACTGATAGATCTTGGCAGGCAGAATCGTGTGTGAAGGCCTAGAATAGAGAGAGAGCACTGCACCCTGAAGAAACAGAAGGAGTTCACCGGAGCTGGTGCAGAGAATGCAAGACATACAGTGGTCAAAGCAGCGTGGAGATGTAAACAGAAGCCTGAACAAGAACATATAAATCCTGCTTAGAAGCTTGTACTTTATCCTCAGATCAAAAACTGTAACCAACTTATTTTTAACCAAGAGCTTTAAAATTCCATACATATTTGATTTTTTTTGAAACAAACAAACAAACAAAACCCAGAATACCTAGAAGACCTATTCTAAAGCCCTTTTATTCCCTAGCTTATACTCTACCCCCAAGGGAAATAAATTGGATTTAAAGCCCAGTGGATCTAGCTAGAAATTTCCTTACCATTGAAATTCCTAGATTCTGGAAAAGAAAAAACTTATTTCTCAATAAGGTTTTGAGTTTTCTTGTAGCCTACTACAATGAATGAATGAAGTCAGAAATGACTCAATTTTAAACTTGTAAGAAGTTGACAAGGACACAAATACACATATGCACACACTCAGAGGACATGCAGCCACATGAACAGAACTTGTTTTCACTTGGCAATATCTGTTGCCTTCACACAAATGGTTCTTCATACTGATTCCTAGTCTGCACTGCCTTTTCAGGGACAGAAAGAAGAAATTCCAGAAGGAAAAACATAATTGGGATTTTAGGGTCATTATTAGCTCATCTTTTAAAAGACATTATGAGCTAGACCCAGGTGGCTCATGACTGTAATTCCAGCTACTCAGAGGGCTGAGAACAGAAGGATTGTGGATCAAAGCCAGTTTAGGCCCAAAAGTTTGCAGAAGACTATCTCAAAAATAACCAGCAAAAAAACAGAGCTGATAGTGTGACTCAAGGTTCTGGATAACATCTACTTTTTACTGGATTCTGTGAACAATAAGAAAGAATATAGTCAGAGCAACAAAAAAGAAGAAATAATAATAGTTTCCTATCCTATTTTTCTCTGTAGCCAGCACCATGTAAGCTTAGCCAACTTTACCATTAGATTCTACCAAATAGAAATGCAGCAAAAAGTATCATGCATGTACCTTTATATCATCATAATGTTGTCAAAAATAAACATGGGTAGATATCTGGCTCCAAATAAGTTTACAGTTGTTTCTGTGTACTTTAAGTAGTTGTACAAAGGAGTTGCCATCCAACAAAGCGGTTATGAGTACAGTGCATCTTGATCACTGTCATTGCTCCCAACATTCTCACCCATCCCTTCCCTCACTCGTCTTAATTTTGCAGCATATACATTGGATTTTATGGCTGCATTCCTCTCTGCTTCCTCTCTTCATCTGTCTACCCACCTCCCCTTGAAAAGTCTCTTTTAGACCACAGCAAGATTACTGTATGGAAATATTATAAAATACTTCCCGATTTTTATCATATAGACAGGGGTTAGTAAGCTTTTGCTCTTCACTCACAGAACATTAATATTTTAACCCTAAGCCTGATAGTTAATATTGTAAACTTTGTGGCCCACATTCAGTCGGCTACCTAACCAACCAGAAGCGGAAGATACGTTGTTTGCTTAGGGTCTGTAATATATAATCAGATGGCAGGCTAGATTTGGCATACAGGACGTAACTTCCTCATTACTGAAATAGGTCACTAATAACTCCAACTTTATCATGAAAGCATTAGATGGGGAGAACCATTCAAAAAGTCGAAACTTTTGTTGAAAAGGGTGACATTGATCAAGATATATTCATAGTCTTTGTACAAGTAAAGATAATTTTTAAGTTGAAACTTGATTGATTGATTGATTCAGAGCCTTGCACTTGCTGGGTAGATTCCAGCCCTTTCTGCTCTGGTTACGTTTTTTTGAGATAGCATCACAAGGTCTTTGCCAAGGTCTAGACAACAATCCACCTATTTACACTTCCCACCATGGCTGGAAGGACAGGTGTGAGCCAATAGTGCCAAGAAATTATTAGAGATCAGGTCTAACTTTGTGAGATAGCCTTGAACTGTGATCCTCTTGATCTCTGCTTCTGTAGTTGCTCCAGTTACAGGCATGAGCCACCTGCAGTAGACCTCAGATCTTTATTTTTATAATCATTAAAGCAGGTCTTTCCTAAATGAACAGAACTTTCAAGAAGGCTTGAGACTGAGCCTTGTACAGATTACATTTGTAATGCAGCCCTTAACAGAAATTCCTGAAGCCCACTCAGCACACCCCTAACGGTTCACACAGCAGAAAGTCTCATGAAGAATTTACACATTTTTTTCTCATTATAAATTGCTAGTTCAGAGCCTGGAGATTTAGCTCAAGTGGTAGAGCATATTTGCATAGCATGCCCAGGGCCGTGGGTTATTAATCCTACAGCAAAGGAAACCATTGTGTTGTTTTCTCATCTGCTTGGTTATGCCTATGCTTGAACTTCATGTAACTGGAATAATGTGGTATGTAATTGTGAGTTGGCTTCTTTCATTATGCAGTATGGTTTGGGGAGTTTATCCATATTTTGCATTTACAGCAGTTAATCCTGGTCTATTTCTCAGCAGAAATGAAGCTGTGAAAAGACCACAATTTCTTAATTCACTTGGACAACCTGAGCACAGATACTCTGTTGGCCAACATTTACATTGTTTCCAATTTAGCTGTTGTAAATTGAACTGCTATGGATATTCTTTATAGATAACTTCTTTAGATACTTTGCTGGACATATGCATTGATTTTCTTTCCTGGGAGTAGAATTGCCACATCACGTGAAAAATTAAACATGTGATGTTTAATTTTGCTAGTAACTACCGAAGAGATGGGAGTTTCTACCGTTTCACACCCCTCCCAACAATGGATGGGCACCGCAGCTGCTCCGCAGTTCCCTGCCAGTGCCTGGTACTGATGGCCTTCTTTTTGGAGCCTGTCTGATGAAATTTTTTTGTACCTTCAAGATACAGTTGTGAAGAGGTCAAAGTTCTGCCTCTGCTGCTAATACTATTTCTTTGTCTCCCCTGTTTCTTCCTTGATGCCATCTTGATGCTGTGTTTTATGACTTACGGGAGACCAAAGGCCTCTTTTGCCTAAGGCCTTTTTACATAAGTTCTGGGAAGCTGTTACTAGTTCCAGTGGCCCCATTTCACTTGGGAGGAATTCCTTGACAAGAGCAGTACATAAAGATGCTGATAGTGGCTGGCTGAGGTCTTAGCTGACTCCCTGAGGACTCTGAGAGATGCAGGCACTGGAGCGCAACTGGAACCCAGAGGGGAGGGGGCCGCCCAGCAGAACCTTGGGAGGGATAGAAAAGAGGCTATTCTAGCGGGGCTGGAGGGGGAGGGAGTCTGAAGTCTGAACAAAGTGTTGTTCTATTCCTTATTGATGAGGTGATTATTTTAGTAATGAACTCTTACTTTGGTTGAATTCAACTTGCATTCACTTAGAAGGAAATGTCACTACATAGAGCTCATATTACTCTGAATAAGTTTA